GGTGAACGATCTTAAACCACATGTAAATATTATATAAAATCCTTTCTCCATAGTAATATAAAAACCCTAATACAATCATACTCGCATGCAATCAGCCTTGTTTGTTCGTTTTCATCACTCCCCCACACGTTGATTAAAAGATAAAAAAGGAGTATCCACTGCAAAAGCTCAATGCACTCATAGCTGTTCCGTTACTTCCGGTCTATTTGGTCATAGACGCAACAACCACAGTAGCACCATACTTCGAGGGTTGACACAAGTCTCGGCCTTTGGAGAGAATGATATCAACAATCACACCTCTAGTGCGAATTTGCTTAAAACAACAGCACGAAAAAAAGGAATACTCATGGCAGGGAGATGCCGTTCACTTCGACTCATCAACGCATCAAGCTTATGCTTTAGGGTGCTGTTTCAACTAAATACGATTACAGATTCGATGCTTATTAGGCAGCATCGCACCAACGCTTCTATCAGGCGTGGCTACCAATGGGCAGCAAACACACAGCACAGGCTTGTCATTCACAAAGGGCCCTCAAAGTCTTCAGGAGCATCACCAGGTACGAAACAGCATTGGATAGCCGACATGTGGTTTCAGTACAAATCTAGTTTGGCGTCGCAGCAGCCGACTTTTACCTACCCATATACCCAGTATGTTCCGTTCATGACATGGATGGAGGAAACCTGTTGATTCAAAAACTCACATAGACAGACCAGTTCGTAGCTTGGCGAAATATCGTGTGTATTTTTTTGGTTGGGTGTTTACGTGGAAACAATAATATGAGGGGAAACTAAAGTTTGTGCTGTTTTTTTACTTGGCGACAGACTTGCTGGCCTTTTCCAAAGCTTGGGCAAAGTCAGCCTGGTGAAAAAGAATAGTCAGCACGCAATCCAATATAAGGCGGGCAAGCCAACATAGGGGTAAAAAACTCGTCCATCAACATTTACACCGACAAGCGGCCTCTTCTTCGACTTACAATGATATCGTCAATGTGCTCAATACCAACAGAAACACGAATCAAATCTGGTGTTACTCCCGAAGCAATTTGTTCGTCTTCAGAGAGCTGTTGGTGAGTGGTACTAGCGGGGTGAATGACCAATGTTCGGACATCTCCAACGTTACTAGGGCAAGAAAGAAGGTTGATAAAGAATTGATACAGCCTCGTACAACTGCGTAGTCAACTTACGCTAGATGACTAGCCAACACGAACGAATCCACAGCAACCTTCCCAGCAGCATAACCCCCCTTAACACCAAACGTCAACACGCCACCATATTGACCCGATCGCAAATACTGTTTGGCCAATTTATGCGAAGCATGAGACTCCAATCCAGCATACGAGACCCATTCTACATGAGGATTGTTTTCCAAGTATCGAGCCAAGGCAAGCGTGTTTGCATTGTGTCGCTCGCAACGGAGAGAGAGGGTTTCGAGACCTTGTATCAACATGAAGGAGCCAAATGGAGACTGTGATGCACCAAAGTCACGGAGTTGCTCTACACGTAAACGGATTCCATATGCGATGTTTGCTTTGAATGGACCTTCAGGGCCAAAAATGTCCCAGAACTATAGAAGGAGGACAGTTGGGTTGGATGAACTTGTGTCATTCGAGATTAGACCACGTATTTTCTTGCGTACCTTAAGACCATGGTAACCAGGAGACGGTTCAGTAAACATTGGGTAGCGACCATTGTTCCATGGGAATGAGCCTCCGTCTACAACAACGCCGCCAATCTAAAGAGAAACGTGAGTAATCAAAGACCAAAAAATATCTACTACAGATGGTTAATGCAAAATGCACTCACAGTGGTTCCGTGACCTCCAATCCATTTGGTGGCAGAAGCAACGACCACATCAGCACCATGCTTTAAAGGTTGGCACAAGTACCCGCCTTGTCCAAAGGTGTTGTCGACAATGACACCTATAATGACGGAATTTTTAGCAACAAAAGTAATGGCAAATAATAATGGATTTCCTTTGAAAGCAAGCAGACCATCAGGTACCAGATCCCACAACAAACATGATCAACACTTACAGATTCCATGCTTGTGTGCAGCAGCACAAATCTTTTCAAAATCAGGCACATTGTGTCGTGGGTTTCCAATAGACTCCAAATACACAGCCTTAGTCTTATCATCAAACAGCGCCTCAAAGTCTTCAGCAGCATCACCAGTCACGAATCGGGTTGTGATACCCAATCGGGGGAAGGCGACCTTGAATTGATTGTATGTACCGCCGTACAAGTATGAAGTAGATACGATATTGTCACCAGCTTGACAAATGTTTGCGATTGCGAGGAATTGAGCGGCTTGCCCTGATCCAGTTGCGACTGCTCCTACACCACCTTCGAGAGCAGCGATACGTTTTTCAAACACGTCGTTTGTTGGGTTCATGATTCGGGTGTAGATGTTTCCGAATTCTTGGAGACCGACTGTATATGAGAGTGGTTAAGAGATGGTTGGTCTGTCTGGCGGTATGTGACGATGCGCAAGGAAGGGCTGTGGCAAGTGTTCATAGTTCCGAGTGACTTACACAAACGAGCACCATGGTCTGAATCAGTGAAGGTGAAGGATGTCGTGGCGTAAATAGGGACGGCACGAGCGTGTGTAGCTACGATAAATGGATAAATATAAGTAACATTGAAAAGCGACGTGCCAATGTACCACCAGATGCCGTTACCTGGGTCTGGAGCCCATCCAGCATGAACCTGCATGGTTTCAAACTTTAAATCTTTTCCTGTAGGATTACCGGCCATTTCTAGTAGGTTGGAGTGTTTGTAGTTGTTAGTGTCAATGTTTTTGAAAATTGCGACATTGAATGTCCGGCTCAGGACAGCCAGTTCCAACCCATTAAACAGGGGGAAGACGCTTCATCTTAGAAAACGAGTCAAAATCAAGATAGCTTACCGTCTTCGTTTGCTTGTTTTAGTTGTTCAACTGCTTGTTTGTCTGTGATTTCTTTTTGATTAACAACAGCTATTTCTTCTGTTGAGTGTTCTGCTGTCTCGAGTATAGGAGTGGGCTCTTGTATAGGCTCTTCTAGCGGTATAGGATCCACCAAATTAGTGGAAGCTGGTAAGAAACTAGTTGGAGAAGCAACTAGCTGTGTTTCACTGTTTGGTGCAGTTGAAGAACGAGATGCAGCAGCAGTTGATTTTCGTGATATGATTACTTCTTCTTCTTTTCCACAGCAGAATCTAAGCATCAGGATCTTTAAATTGCTTCTTGTCTACCTTTTTGTAATGACTCTGCTTTGCTGGGTTTGAACTTTTCGTGTTGCAATTGCGCCATCCATTGCAATACAAGCCAAGACGCTAACCAAAAGATAAATTTCCGTCATTTTTCACTACTAATAAATGTATCATCCCGTTACCTTCGTTGTCCATCGGCTGATCTATTGCTATTCATCCAAACATCTCCAAAAGAGCAATGCCACTCAAATTACAACCTTCCAACTGTACCAACCAATCAGGTTCTTCTGATGGATTCTGCTTGTATTCACGTATTAAATGCGTATAATAATATTCAATCCTCTCCGCACATCCAACATTACAACTCTGAACGCGTTCCAATTCGAACTACTATCAAATTGCACCGTGGGATTCCTGAAGCTCCTCCAAAGACACACAGCCAAGCAATTATACTGTTGATCCGTTGCGGGCTACTGGACAGCTTTCACCGGTCTTCAAGTTCCATACTTCAGACCTCTTCACCTCAACCAAAATGTTTCGACGAAAGGCCAATCCTGAGGTGCCCAAACCCGTCGAATTACCTCCTCAAAGGAATGAAGATCAAGTTCCGTTGAAAGTGGCAATAATAGGATGTGGACAACGAGGTGATCGCGTATACGGCGAATGGTTTGCCACAAATCGTGATAAAGGAATCGTAGTGGCTATAGCTGAACCTAATGCAACTCGTCGTGAAAAGACGGCATTGAAACATAATTTGCCTGCCAACCGTGTGTATGTTGATTGGGAGGATTTCGTGCAGGCTCATGATAATGAAGGATCCAGGATTGCTGATGCGTTGTTGGTGTGTACTCAGGTATGTACGTAGTGAGATTGAAATTTCTGCTTGATTTGAATTCCCAGATCTATGAACTAATAATACTTGCCGGTAGGATCAAACTCATGTGGACATTGTCGAAGCAGGATCTAAACGAGGATATGACATCTTGTGCGAGAAACCACTGGCTACCGAAATCAGTGAGGTTGTGAGGATTATCAAAGCAGTGAAAGATGCCAATGTGATATTTGGCGTCGCTCACGTTTTACGGTACTCGCCATACACGTAAGACAAACCAAGTGGTATCGCTTCATTGATCAGGACCTAACCATTCGATGTAGACAGGGCATCCAGAGTCTATTAAAACGTGGAGATCTTGGTAGCGTTGTTAATGTTCAGCATTTGGAACCTATCGGAAATATTCATTTCTCTCATAGGTATGAGTTGTGTCTAATTACTGCTTTTGTTGGTCTCTCATGGATTCACAGCTTCTTTATATAGTTACGTCCGAGGCAACTGGAGGAACGAATCTACCTCGTCCTTTACGCTCTTGACAAAGTCATGTCACGATCTAGACCTGCTCAACTTGTACTTTCAAGGCAAACGAGCCACGAAAATATCATCGTTTGGATCATTGTCGTACTTTAGGCCAGAAAACAAACCACCGAAAGCTGGAGACTCAACACGATGCTGGAACTGTCCCGCTGAGAAAGAATGCACGTATAGTGCAAAGCGGATTTACTGCGAGCCTGCTTCAAAAGGGAACTTTTCATTGTGAGCAAAAAGACAGGAGCCAGCAGCATCTGAATGAGTTAACGACTCTGTACAATACTTGAAGCTAACACGTTACCTCCAATCTTAGTCCCGTGTACGTCATAACCGACATTGAAAACCTCGCCTCCGTCGAGCACGCAGTGCAAACCGGCCCATACGGCGAATGTGTCTACAACGGCACCAACAATGTAATCGACAGCCAGATCGTAAGCATTGAATTCGAAGGCGGCGGTACCGCCTCCTTCACCATGACAGCCTTCACCCAAATCCTTGGGCAGCGGGTAACGCGCATCAACGGCACAAAGGGTGAAATTACAGGTGACATGCATGAATTTAATCATTACGCATTCGATACGAGACGGAACAAAAAGTATTGTCCGTTGCCTGCTAATCCGAGTGGGCATGGTGGTGGAGATTGGGGTGTTATTGAGGCGTTTGTCGATGCTGTTAGGCAGAGGGATCAGAGTTTGATGGGGTGTACGCCTGATGATGTGCTGGAGTCGCATCTGTTGGTGTTTGCTGCTGAGGAGTCGAGGAGGAAGGGGGTTACGGTTGATGTTGGTGAGTATAGAAAGGCTGTTGGGGCTAATTTGTAGGATTGTGGGCCTTACAATCTATAGTTGTTGAATTATTTGAACGGTGAAATAAAAGGATTCTTTATTAAACGAAAGCGAGGTTATAGTGTGTTTGTATCAAAAGAAGGTTTATGTTTAAGAGCGAGAATTTGAAGAAAAACGAGGAAACACAAAACAAGAGTAAACAAAGCGACTAAACAGCAGTAAATTCGACAAATTAAGAGACTCAAGTAGCAGTAGTCAAATGGGGATCATTTTTCAAGCTAACTTGTAACGTCTTCAAGCCGAACTGTTGTTGAAGTATCCTAATGTTGTACTTGTGAGGACGCAAAACAAAAACCCCTTGATAACTTGCCTCCGAAACTCACCTCAATATCATGAGAAACACTGCGACCCCAGTCAATAGACCTAATTCCAGTATCAAGAGATTATTCACGGTCTATACTACTCATACGTCCATGTACCCGTGCGTCTCTAATCAAGGGCACTTCGTCTTCATCCGTGTCCTCCTCCAAGAGAAGTATCGATGCCCTCTTTTCTTCAATCACTAGTGTTACATCTGGATGCAAAGGATCCAGATAGACGATTGGGTTCTCTGTCACTTTCTAGAAATCGGATGACCATGGATACGCTTTTCACATCTGCATAGTCTCCAGCGTAGCACTAGTAGCTCCACTAGTAGAATCAACAGAATGTTGCGACCACTGAAAGATCTTGTTGTATCCAGCAGCTTTAAGCACCAATTCAACACGTTGACCCATGTTACCAAATAGAGCTCGTGCACAGGTAGGTCTCATTCCGATTACGTCCTGATACAAAAATATAACAACATGGTGAGCATGCAGTTCTCGAGGCGCGAATCATTTCAGTTCGTACTTGGATGATACGAGCAGTCCATTACATCTCTGCCAAAATGACTTCGTTTTCAAGCGTCGACAAGTAAGGGTGTCTAATATGAGAGTATGCAAATGCACAAGAAATCGAGAATGCTGATATCCCAAACGACAAAACAAGAATGGCTAACGAGTATGTATGTGCAAAAGCATGTCCGGCATTACATGCACGACGTAGCAGAACAGGAGACTCAAACACTCGGTTTCCAACAGGGAATAGATTGATCTAAGCATGGCAAGGATCTGAGAATAAGAGAGTGAAATTTGACGAATAGATAATATGCACCTTCGTGCACAAAGCTTTTTTTTGGTCTCATACGTTGACATCGGGATGTGCATCCAGCCAGTCGTTAGCAGTTCACTGTTTCCGTTTAATGGGCCATCATAATGATATTAGTTCATATATTCCAAGAACTTGCATATCACCAAATCAGCCAAATGTAAGACCAAGACCAAACAGGTCGTTCAAGGAGACATACGTAAGAGCAGCATTTATTAGAGAACCAATAGGTCTCTAATCATCATAAAATTAGAAAACATCAGCATTAGCATATACAGAAACAACCATGATCAAACAAAACCAACGTCAACGCTCATACAACACTCGTAGACACCATTGGACGTATAGAGCAAAGTCTGAGGGGCAGGGCAGACGTCGGTAGGTATTCCACTTAGATTATACCTTGCTAGTGAATTCAGGGAACCGTATCAGTCAATTCAGCTCGAAAGCCATACTTGCGTCTGTCTTTTCAACCAAACACTTGAGTTCAAGATGTAACAGTAATATAGGCAGAAGCTGAGACGACCTAAGGAGAAATCATAAATAGAGCATTCCAAAAGTAGATACGTTAAAGTTTTACCTGGTCATTGGTTGGATACACCCACATTGGATGTGCCGAAATTACAACCCAAAGGGTGTCAGTGCAGACGAATTTGCCACAAAAGTAAGGCCGAGTACAGAGACAACAGTGATTTTACTTGATATAGCCATTTTCTGGCTTTGTTGTCAGTTTTGATTCGGTAGTGTGTTGATTCTGATTGAAGGAGGTAGCTTGAGCACTCCCAATCAAACTGCAGAAAGTTTGGGCCAGTCAAAACACCGAGTTGGCGACATTATGAAGGTGCCAATGAATGCAGGATCTATAGGCCATGATCTGTGATATCTATTCTTTACAAGCAAAAAGGGAAAGGCTTTCAACTACATAATATATCATTTACAGAATCCGACTAAATTCTTGCCCAAACAAAAACCCAAACACAGCTATATGTATCAAACCTATCTCTGTCTCTTCCCCCTGTTATCCAGATTGTAAAGTCTCCCTCAACCTCGCAGCCTCCTTCCTCAACACTTCTACACGTTGCAAAGCACGTTCTTCAAATATACCAGCTTGCTCTGTAGCCATCATCATCAAATAATCCTTCAAGGGCATATTGGCCTCTTCCATTGTAGGTGGACGTGGTAGACCTACTCGACGTGAAGCGGTTGCTAATGATGAGGCAGAAGTCCTTTTAGACTTTGTAGGTGCTATTGGGGCATCAGGCATGGAGAGCTTTTTATTGGTGGTGGTGTTGCTACTGCTGCTCTCAGATAATGGAATTACGGATTTTCGGCGATCGCAATCGTTGCTCTTTTGCTTGACATCAATTATAGGGGCTGGCGGATTGTCAATTTCCATGGCATCAGGAGTTGATGGATTTTCTTCAAATATTGGTAAGGTATCATCACCACCGCCAACATCAGCATCTATTTCTGGTGGTGGTATGGCATCATCATCACCACCACTAACACCATCATCTACTTCTGATAGCATGGTATGATCATCATCACCACCACCACCACCACCACCATTACCATCATCTACTTGTAGCTCTACTATTATGTTACTAGTTTTGCGCCGTTGCTCTTCTTTATCTGGTAGCGGTGGCTCCTCTTCATCGAGCACGTCTTTATCAGGCATACGATCTTGCATCTCATCGTCTTCATCATTGGCTGGTAGATCAGGCTGCTGTTGTTGCTCTTGTTGGGGCTCGTCCAACTGTATCGGCAGATGCATCTGATCTATCAGCTCAATATCATCTCCTATTACTTTGGGTTCTATCTCTGTCTCCTGTTCTACATTTTTGTCTTCTTCAAGAGCCATCTCTTGGTTCAATTGGGTTTCTTCTGTAACAGATTCTGTTACATCGAGCTCCTTTACAGTAGATTCAACCACTTCAACATCATCCGCTTGCGGCAATGATAATGATGTGGTAGTATCCTTTACAGTAGGCTCGGCCGAGTCGGTAACCAAAGCATTAGACTCGTCCAAGAAATCGTCTTCCAACGAAAGAGATTGCTTGCCACGTGATGGCGGTCCACCCAATTCTAAGTGTTGTCTAGCACTACTATTATCAGAATCTGTCTTTTGTTTGGGAGGTGCTACTACTTTGATGACGGATTTACCACCTTGTTTAACCACAACGATTGGGGTTGAAAGGGGAGGTACAGCAGCAGGGGCATTACTTCCATCACCATGATACTTTGGTCGAGCCTTGGTAGCTAGTTTTTTACGTTTCTTGGGTATCGGAGTATTGCCTGTATGTTCAGGTGCTTTCAATGATTCGTCCTCTTCTACTTCTGGAGATGCATCCCTAGCAGTGTCTACATCCATATGTGTATCAGGTTCTGGTGAGATTGCCTTTTGTAATGGTGACGGTTCTTTTATAGTTACGGCCTTTGTACGAGGTAGTATGTGTTTGAGAGACAATCCCTCCTTGACAGGATCAAGCTCTTTGGCGGCTTGCTTTTTCGTCTCTTTGACTTCTATTGTTTCTACAGCGACTTGCGACGAAGAACTGTCTCCACTGTCACCACGATACTTTGGTCGATCTTTGGTGGCAAGTTTTCGTTTTTTTGTTGGCTGTTTGACATTCGTCACGTTTGATGATGTAGACTGTTGTGGTGGTAGTATAGGTTGCAATCTGTGTTTATTTTTATTTGTTGGAGCCTTCATGATTTCTTGCCAATTAGCCAACAGCATATCTGTTGGCACATCTGCTTTACTACTACTGCTAGCTGCCTTTTGTTGTTCTTGTTGCTGTTGAATTGGTTCAGGTTCGATCTGTTGAGATACTACCAGTTCCGTTTCGTTTTGACTAGATTCTGCTTTCTCAGCTACAACAGCATGATCTCCGTCTTCTCCTAGGCCCTCAATCACTACAACCTGCTCTACAGTTCGTTCGACCTTCTGTTCTGCAGTATCATGCTCTCGAACCGGGCTTGACCGCTTGGATGACGGCAGCTCATCTTCTACGACAGTATCTGCTTTGGCCTTCCGTTTACGACCACGGGCAGCAGACTTCTCTGCCTTTTCATCAACCTTGTCTTTTGGAGCAGGAGGTTGACGACCTCGTCTCCTTGTTGGTCCGGCAGAGACTGGTGATGCTTCTCGACTCTCGGGCTTCACCTCTATTGGTGTTGGTTCTTCATTATTGATAGATTTCTGGGCTTTGGCCTCGGAGTGTACCAGAATTACATCATCTCCCAAATCATCTTCTACTCCAGCGTTGACAGCCTTAACTGCTTTTAATCTGGCCGGTGGATGGGGTTTAGATGGTCTCTTCACTACTACTGGTTCTGGTGGATTGAAAATGATACAGTCTGGTCTTCTTTTCTTATGTTCATGTCTATGTTTTGGATTGAATTAGTTTGACATATACTTGATGGTAAAAAGTCGAAACATACACTGGATCATCATTCAATTCCCAGCCATCGAGACTTATCTCGCAATAAAGACATTCAGTAGCATCGTCAGCGTCTTCATACGGTTTATAAACCCAGCCTGCGCGAGCCAACTAATAATAAATTATTAGGTTAGGCTACAATGCTCTGTCCTTCTCAGTACCCTAAGTCATTCAATATGATACATACCGCATCTGGTTTAGGATTCCATTTCTTGTCTTTATAATGTGGCCACCAGTCTTTACCAAATGTATCTAATCGTGCTTGATTCATAACATCTGAATCTGGTGCATGTTCCACTGACGAAACATCATTCTGACCAATCCCGTCAGCATTGACATGTAATAGCTTCCATGCACAGGTATCATTATGGCATTCCCAAGGGTCTTTGTGAGCCGTCCACCCATTTACTGACGCTTGACACAAATAACATGTACACGAGTCTGGAGCATCAGCAGACGGAGTAAAGTAGAATCCAGCTTTTGCCAACTATACAAAGAATGAGAAAATGAGGATGAACATGGCATTCCAGGGTGTAGATCTAGCTTCTTTTGTACAAGTAGAAAATCAAAGAACAAATCGAGTTCAAATTACCTGTTCAGGTTTGGGGACTGATTTGTCCTTGCGAGTATATGGCCACTTATTAGCTGACTTGCCACGTCCTGTTCCGAATGATTTGAAACGATCTGGATAACCGGCCAACTTCATTCTTGTTATGTTATTTGTGGTTGGTTGGGTGTGGAGAAATGGAGGATAAGTTCACAAATGGAACTGTATTATGATGTATTCTCGAGTGTCAGAGTCAATTGATGACACTCTTGAACCATCAAGATTGGGTTGTTCTCGCTTCAGATCAAAACACTGCAATTTGTATGGGATTCATCAATCCAAAACAAAAACAAGGTGTGAAAACACTAAAAGGACAATTGATCTGTATTGATTATAGAATTTGAAGTGATCTAAGTCTATCGATTATCGATGTCATGACTTATGGTGATGAGAGATCCCAATGCTCGAAAGTCGCTCTACATGATGAAAACAGGAGTTTCTACGTTGCTACATGTTAACGAACGTGATTCTATTGTAGGCAGTCAAATGCAAAAGCTTTTCTTGATATTCACGTCCACCATGCTTTCCTGTGCCACAAAAAGCAGTTTCGGACGGCCAAAGCTGTCAAGCACGCTTTGCAAAGGCACAAAAACTCTAACATGTTTACACGTCTCATATAGTCACGATTCAAGCATTGACATTGTCTATTGTTTACTCTAACTTCAATCAACGTCATTTCAATTCACGACCAATCGTGACTTGCACGTTTTGGTTGCGGCCTGTGTGTTGGATGAGTAGGCGTGATATAAAGTAGCTTTCTGATATTATTTCGCATCATCGTAATCGTGTTTCAACTTGTAAAATTGCGTGTTGGTGGTTTTTCTTGTCTCAATCAAGTTTGTTAAGCAAACACAATTCGGTTGGAAAAAGACAAGATTGCATGACGATTGCTGTAAAGACTCTGATAGAGTGAGGACATAAAAGCATTGCTTGTAGCGGAATCTGTCACTTGGACGTCTTCCCAGATAGACGGCTCTAGCCGCAATAACCTTGTCTGCCACATCGTAAGCATTTCAAGACAAACCCAAACGAAACAAGATATGGCCAGTGTCATTAGAAGAAGAAGCAATGACAGAAGACACTCAGATGTCTACCCAGCTCAGAAACGAAGAGACTCTTCTGAACGGAGCAGAGCCAGTGTTCATAGTAATTACAACAATTCAACAGGAGGTCGGTCAACTGATGAACATCAATACTATGCCACCAATGGAAACGCGACATATCAGACCATGCCGCATATGACTAGAAGCAGAGATTCCTTTGAACAGCAGCAGCAGCAGCAATTACAACAACTTCAGCACCACCAGGTTGCTACACTGTACCAACAGCAACAATACCAATACCCAACAACAGCAAACCTGGCTCCCCCAATGATGGCCCATCATGGAGGCATCTCCAATACCAATCAATTCGCACAACCACAGCCTTATCCTGCCATGAATCGTCCGAGTCACCCCATGTACAACCTAAACAACTCGCAGAATGGGCCAGCCTACGGGACTAGAAACAGAACAGTATCCAATAACACAGGTACTACTACAATTGCCACCAGTGGCCGTATTGCTGCCAACACTCTACTCAGGCCTATGGCGAACACATCCACCACCACTACTGAAGTGATTGACTTGACCGGGTCACCCAGTAGCAGTGCCGTGCCCAACCCTCCAACAAGGAAGAGAAGGCGAGACCCAAACTCATCACAACCACATAATCAACATCATCTAGCAGCATCGACGTCATCCAGGCCGTCATCACAATATCATGATCATTCATCCAGTTATCCAGAGGTGAGGTTGATTTGGAACACACATCGATTCATATTCAACGCATATATTAACTTGTCTATTTTTATTATAGTCTTATGCATCAACAGTATCATCTCATCCTCATCCAGTGCCTCTGCCATTGCCTCCATGTGATGATCCTGACGGCCACTTTGTTGTCAACATCAACGAGGACTTGACACCACGATGTAAGTAACAAGTGATTCATGGTATCTATGCTACGCATTGAGATAGGTTTGACTCTGTTTTTTTCGCTCATAGATAAGATCTTAAGGTTGTTGGGCCAAGGGACATTCGGTAAGGTTGTAGAAGCATTTGACAAGCACAAGAAGATGCATGTCGCAATTAAGATTATACGATCCGTGCAAAAGTATCGGGATGCTTCCAAGATTGAAATCAAAGTCTTGCAAACCATCAAGAGTCATGATCCTCAAAACATCAAGTACGTGTGAACATTGCATCGCTGGCCAATGCATGCAATTAACCGTCTCCTTTTATCTCATTTTAGACGATGCATACACTTGAGAGATGTATTCGATTACAGGAACCACATTTGTATGGTGTTTGAAGTCTTATCGCAGAGTGTGTTTGACTTTTTAAAGGAAAACAAGTTCCTCCCCTTCTCGGTACGTACAGCTTTTGTGAAACGGGATCGACTGGAATAGCTATAACTAACTGAGCACTTGACCCATTTAGATGGATCAAATACGGGACTTCGCACGCCAAATCTTGGTTGCCGTAGAGTTCTGTCATAGCCTCAGGCTTATACATACAGACTTGAAGCCAGGTAAGAACCCAACCAAAACCTTCAACAACCAAATATTTATATCGTATATGTGATACTTACTCCTCTTCCTTGTCGTAGAAAATCTAATGTTGGAGCAAAATGCATATTCAGCAAGGCCATACAAGAAAGGCACGAATCCCAATGGTCAACCAGTCTTGAGACGAGAGTTGAATTCTACATACCTTCGTCTCATTGATTTCGGATCTGCTATATTTGAGGATGATTATCACAGCTCGATTGTCTCTACCCGACACTATCGAGCTCCTGAAATCATTTTGAGTATGGGATGGTCTTATCCATGTGATATTGTAAGTGGTTTGTCGAATTGCTTTGCTCAAATCGTTCTAAGCTAACTTTCCCTTTTGTCCCACCGTAGTGGTCAATTGGATGTATACTTGTAGAGTTCTTCACCGGGGAAGCTCTCTTCCAAACCCATGACAACTTAGAACATTTGGCCATGATGGAACAAACATTGGGCAAATTCCCTCCAGAGTTTATTGCTATGGTCCCGTAAGTATATGAGCTGACCTGATGTTGGATCAGTACCAGTTCAGTCTACTGACGACCTTGTTTTTAATGTCATTTTAGGAACTCATACAAGTACTTCAAGGGTGGCAAGCTGGATTGGCCAAACCAGGAGGTTAATCGATCCAGTAAAGCATTTGTACGAAAACTCAATCCTCTAGAGGTATGTTTCGAGCCTGCCAATCCGTTTTGTTGTCATTTATTCACAGCGATGGCTGACTGTGATGGCTAATCATAATCAAACTCGTAGGTAACAATCAGACCAACAAGTATTCCAACAATCAGTAGCTTCTTGAGCCTGGTTCGACGAATGCTAGAATATGATCCAGCTCAACGAATAACGGCCAGGGAAGCCCTAAATCATCCCTTCTTTACCGAAAACCAAGGATTGAGGCAAATGTGAAATGTCAGCAGCAGCAGCAAAACTTTGGGAAATCTGAAAAACGGAATTTATATCGCTGGTCGTTGGGTTTTGTCCGTGTGCTATTCCCTTATATGGAACATTTGGGTGGAAGCTGGTGTCTCCTCGCTATGAAAGAGACTGAAATTGTAATAAGCTGCATTGTATTTGTTTTGTCTTCGTCTTTCATAAGTCATCTATTGATAATCACAGAGGAAACATTATCTTATAAAGCGAGATACTTGGTGTTTTGTGTGTTTGAAGGTGAACACTTCACGCACAATTGGCATTTATTTTTTTGCGTACCTATACCGAGAGTCAAGACTAAGTTCGGCACCGCAAACCTCATCTTCTGTTGCTTGTGCTTCGAATTTGCTTTATTCAGTTCATTCGCTAATGTACAAGTGTTGTGTTCAAAAGCATTAGATGATCAAACCGTGTTCAACCTGAAAGCTAGGTGCTTGCGTTCTTCCATCCAGTGCTGTGATTACCAGATGCATCATCCAAGAAGGTGCATGATAAAAAAACCTGATGTATTGAAACGGAAAATGTTAGTTGTGATGGTTGATGTTAGTACTCCAAGCGTTCTTTCCTTTTGCAGGGCTCAGGAACCTCTTGCGTATATGAGGTTCGACAAGTTAATCGTCATTTAAGATCCGACTGGTGCCAACATGATTCTCTTCATTGCCAAGACGCAAAGCAACAACGTTCAAGATATTTTTTTCTCTGTTGAACGTACCGTGCTTTAGTTGTCATCGTCCGTGATGTAGATAGCAGGTGGGATGATGCGTGTGGAAAGATATCGTCGATGGATGGAAGTTAATGGTACTCCGAGGTCTCGTAGGCTTGTTTTTCGTTCGTGTTGATGTGTTTTGGAATGTAGCAAAAAAACGACTTGGAAGAGCCTACATCCCACATTTTCTCCAGGCTTTCAATCGATTCCTCCTCATACCAATGGTGGAGTTTTCATCATCAGCATCCTCCTCGTTGCTTGTACCAGATGGACGTTCAAAAGCTTGTTTGGAACAAAGTTGATGACAAACCCCAGCGATGCTGACAGCGAGGAAATTTCGTGTATCGATCACCACGATTTAAGGTATCGCATTCCATCTGACTATATAATGAAGGATAGTTTACTACGGTTGGAGATTCTGTCAAGATTCGGGTTGGGTCCAAACAAAAAAAGAACCCGTGTTGGCAAGAGGGCAAGGGCTTGTTACAAACCAACTACAGCATCTAGAAGGTTTGTTGCCAAGAGAGATTACCAAAGATATGAAACAAGGAGCGCTCGAGTACGAGACAAGGCCCTCTGGTGCTCGATGCCGGTAAGCTTGCGATACTAGAAATTCAGGGTGTTTTGTACTGCGGAACGTTATTAGGGTGGCTACAATTAGACGACCTGGTTTTATCAAACCCTTGTTATCAGAGACTTGTGAAGGAAGCATAGAGCTAACTGAATTCATACATAGGAAATGCGGCCAACGTATCAACGAGTTTGAAGATCATGTGTGTTTGCCACAGAAGGAGCGACCACAGGCTCCAAAGAAGGTCAAGAAGCGATACATTGAAGATGGTCGAGGACCCCCGAACGACTATACACCAGGTGATTATGAGTGTACAATCAGAGATTCTACCATTAGATCTCAAGTCTTGTCGGTGGTTTGTGCTGGGCCGTACTCCGACCAACGCTCAAAATGTCCTCTTTTTGGATATGACATTTTAACACGTTTTTAATGATAGGACGCACGCCAAAAATGGGAGCATCGCCACACAGTCGAGGCTACGCAGCCCCATTAACACCACCAGAAGACCACTCGCTAGGATACGACGACTCCCCACCTCCGTCATATAGCAGCGGTGGCAACGGCCTCAGTCGCTCGAAATCGAAATCAGACAGATCTCGAGGTGCTGATCGTGGCGATCGTGATCGTGCAGGTGAAGACCTGGAACGCTCACCATCCGAAAAATCAAACAATTCCAAACAACGTGCCGAGCGTCACGAGGGACGCAGACGAAACAAGTCTCGTGATCGTATGAATGAAATGATGATGAATAATTATGGATATCCTAATGCTAGCGGAGGATCATACCCGTATGGACCTGGTGTGTCGAGTGGAAGCGGTGGTGGAGAGAATTATATGGATTGGTATGCGGCACAGGGAAAAGCGTATGGTGGGATGGGTATGATGGGCCCGGGAAACGGGATATCGGATTGGGATGATGATGGTAGTGGGATGGCGTCTTCTATGTTACGGTTTACGCCGGTTGATGAACTCGTGCCGATGGTCAAGAATATGGATGCGGGGACGTCGGTTTGTGCGGGGTGTAATGGACGTATATGGGATCCGAATGAGGCTTTTGAGATTGAGTCCATGCAGAAAGTATGTTGTGTGGTTGATTTTTTGATGTGTTTTGGAACAATGCTCACCAACCTGTTCCGTTTTAGCTATATCATGAGACGTGCTTCAATTGTGTTATTTGCCGTAAACCATTCTCTGCTGACTGTCCATATATTCCTCATGAGGGAAAAGCATACTGTGAGGCTGATTATGAAGCGCTCTTCCAAACTTGTGCTCATTGGTATGACTGCTGCTTAAAGCCCAGCCAAACACCAGTGTTTTTTTCCTTAACTTTTCTGCCTCCAATTAGTAACATGCCGGTCCACGACAACCCTGTACACGCCCTCGGCAAAGTCTTTCACGAAAAGCACTTGAGATGTGGAGAATGTAACAAACAGATCACTGGATCAGTCTTCGAGCATGATGGACAGGTTTTGTGTCCCGAGGACTATACTCGTCTTGTATCTTCCACGTGCCGCAAATGCGATCGTAAAATTGACGGAGAGACAGTAGTAGCCATGAACAATACCTTCCATCGTGAATGTTTTACATGCAATTCTTGTGGCAAAGGGTTTCCTGACAAGAGCTTTTATGTATTTGAAGAACTTCCATACTGTAAATTTCACTACCACGAGATGAATAATTCGCTTTGTGGGTATTGTCATAAACCTATTGAAGGTATGTCAAATGGACACAAAAAATTCGATCCATTGATGTAACGAGATTACGAAACGGTTTAAATTTTCCTCTTCATCATTTACAGGTCCATGCGCCGAAGTATCCGAACTGTCAAAGCGCTTCCACCCGGAATGCTGGGTCTGTAACATATGCTCGACTCCACTGACATCTACATACTATTCATACAACGGAGAAGCATACTGTGAAAAGGACATCAACCGAGTATACAACCCATCCAAATCATCCGGCAGTGGCAGCAACGGCTCACGATCAGAACGTCCACCAGAACGTCGTGAACGTCATAAATCCCGTGATCGAGAAATGCCGACCCGTAAAGGAAGTAACCATGAGCGAGACGCTGATATGCCTGTACGGAAGGGAAGCAAAAGCTCATCGCATCATGACAGAGATGCTGATATGCCAATACGTAAAGGGTCGCATCATACCGAGAGAGACGGCAGTGATGTGCCGTCGCGTAAAGGATCCAACCATGAACGACATATGGCTGATGATGTTGGACCGTCGATGCCGAGGGAGCGTAGACCGTCTGATCGTAGTGATCGTGGTGAACGTGAGAGGGGAGATATGCGGGAACGTAAACCAAGTACTGGACATCGTGACATGGATGAAAAGGCTATGCGTGATAAGCCGGAACGGAGACGAGATGCTAGTGAACATAGTAGTCGTAGTAAACATCGAGATGATTCGGAGCATGGATCGGAGAGGTCGAGATCTGATGCTGGTGTCAAGAGGTCTGGTAGTCATCGTAGACGGGGGCCACCGGAAGCTATAAGGCGTCCTGTTGAGGTTGATCGTTAACAGGGAGGCGCTGGATTTGTCTAGTTTAGGTTGGTGGTGTGGCTTTCTTGTTGGATAAAAAGGGACTTTTTTATGATATCCTCTACGCAGAATGGTGTTTTATAACTTTCTTATTTTCAATTTTCGTTTGTTGGATTTTAGCTACCTTGTTTGATAAAAAATAACGGTGTATAATATCTTCGCCCCCCACACATATAAACAAACTGTCTTTTCTAATTTGTGTGAACTTGGTTCCAGGTCATCACTGCAGATGTTGTTTTTTGGTTTATTGTCGGCTTATAAATTTAGTACGATACTACCGCGATGTGGTCCAAACATTCAATAGAAAATCCTACAAACCACTTCCCCACCATAACAACAACACTCAAAACCTGACTCAAAATATAACATCCGATACAGAAATAGAATCTCTCTCCCTCTCCACCCAAATGCAAAGAAACCCAATAGCAAGCACCCATAGTACAAACTCATGGTCGAAAGTCATTGACTCACGACAAACAAAATCACCGGATTCTTGGCCGTTGATTTCAGTGTAGTGCAGTGTTGAAGACAGGAGCAGTGGAGAGAAATCCATGTACGAGGTTTGAGGGAATTGCCATAGCATGAAGGGCCCTTCCTCTGCATTTTTTGGCCTCCTGTACGTGTTGAAAAGTCTATATATGAGCGTTGGACAGCAATTGCCACTGAAACTGGACCTATAACACGAATCAGTGGAATTAAGCCAAGAAAGAAAAAAGAATCAATTGACTCGTAACTGTCTTCACGACCATCTAGAGCATTCTCGGATACTCACCAATCAATGCAACAGCAGCTCCCACAAAGACAATACTGGGGATACAGCTTGGAAATTTGGTTGCTCTGCAGCTTCTGAAGGCGATAAGGACTGAATATTGTCACCAATAATTTGTGGAGCATCTGCACTTTCGAGCTCGAGGAGTTTCAATTCGTTCCGCGTTTGGATCCACACATCCCCTAATTAATATGCGTTTCAGAGTATCAGAAATGCTAATGACTGCACATTTATACTACAATAGTGTATATCCTTTTTTTACAGGTTTGTAACGACCACTGCACAATATCTTACCAAACCACGCACCTGCATTCAATAGCGACAGAATAACTTGATAGGCAGTAGCACCAAAATTGAAGGCATTGCGAAAACAGGGGATGTCCAGAGTCGGGCTTTAGAGTAAAGAGTGTTTCTTGAAGGGCAATAGAAAGCGATCAAAGGGAAAACTCATACACCAGATAGCTTATCCCTAATACCCGCTGATCCCCCTATTCATGTCAGGCATCATATCAGAAGCCCAGCACTTTGATGCAATCTTCACCACATCATCGTTGCAACTGCCATAGTCCCTGAAACGTGGCGATGGCTCGAATTAGTTATGACAGGAGCCCCGGCCGCAGAAATCAACGCTAATTGATGAACGACACAAACGGGCTGTTGGTGAATGACACTTCCTCCATGGAATACGATGATTGCAGCACGTACTTTTTTGCTCGACATACCAGAGTAACATCAGAGAGACAGAAATGTTGACCGCGGTCTATTGAGCAACTTCGAGCCAAGAATACACTCTCTATCACGTTGTAGAAATCTAAGAAATCCTACAGGAATGATGATATGCTGGATTCACGTGAACCCAGGAAATAGCAACCGAAAAAGGACTGTATGAACAGCCAAGCATACTTCACCGTCTTTCCATGGAGCTAGAGTCCCACACAGCATACGAAGCATTATCGCACATACAGAATCTGCCAGGAGACACAGGCTTGATTGCATTATTAGACCATTGCAAAACCAGTAGCTAGCACCACTATTGCTGGCTCATACTTCCACATCGCTGAAAACCATAACGAGAATCAACAACGAGGAAAGGACAACTGGCCATCCAATGCTGGATTCGAGTCGAGTTTCCTTCCCACAGAGACAGCAACGACCCCAAAGCGAAACACCACACTGATCGAACCTATATGTAGAGGATGCTTTAGTTTCCAAGAGACATTACACTTCTAATCTTGAAGTTTTTTAATCTAATCTCAAAGTTTTTTTGGTTTTTGCATACCAAATGAATGTGAAGAAGCTTGCAAGTTGCAAGTTCTGTTCAATTTTGCGGGTCTTTGTGAGTCTATTCAGACGTTACAGTACCCATTTGTTCAGTTGAGATCAGATAATTTAGTAGGGTATACAGTGCAATACTACAAAAACCGTAGTGCTTATTTAATGGAAAAGGCAGCATAGCTCATGCCTAAAGTAACAATAATATCTAAAACCTGTCCTACAATATACAGTCCACACAATGACAAGATTTCACGTCCTCGTTGTCCAAACTTGGAAAAATCCAACCCAAGCCCAATAGATACAAAGCTCATGGTAGAAAACCATTCACTCACGACAAAGCAAAACGTGCTGATTCCTGGCCGTAGATTTATGGGGACGGCTGTGTTGAAGACTAGAGCAGTGGTGAGGAATCCGAGCACGAATTTTGGGAAGCGTTGCCATAGCATGAACAAAGCCTTTCGTATGGATATTTTCTTCTCCGCTCCTGTTCCTGTCGGTGCTAGCGGATCTATGTATGACCATACGGCAGCAATTGCGACAGACACTGGACCTAGAAACATGTGCAAGTTAGCAAAAAATGAAGCGATGGAGTACGTGATGGACTCGAAAGCCATGGAGAGGCGGTCCCGCTCACCAATCAAGACATTTTGTAACATCTTGATGACAGCAGCGGCATTAATAGCTTCCGGATCACCAAAGATTGCTGCAGCTGCGAGGACTGCACCAGTACTATCGACGCATCCCCCTAAAAGAAGTCACAAGATCAAATATGACAATGATTAGAGAAGCACCTGTAGCTTTTGTTGGGACAACGCCGATAAAAAAAACTCACCAAACCATGCACCAGCAATCAATGGCGGCATATACACTGATTTTGCAATCAGTGGAAGCACCAGGATGGACGGTATTGTGAATACAGAGAGAATGATGATAGGCAGTTCAGCTTTGTTGCACGTTTGAAGTGTCAGTTTGATGAGTAAAACAAGCCAGGAAGCCCATGAATACCTTTGCGAGGGGCACCCATACTAGACGATATAGCCATTGCAGCTGATGATCCACTGAGTATACCAAACAAGTCAAAGACCGAAATTCATACACTTCACTTTGCAACAGCTCTCACCAAATCATTGTTGCTCCAGCCATGATGACTGAAACTTGCAAGTCCAATTTAAAAAGCTTGTATCCCAATAATGCGACAAGAATTGATAGGATTGGAGTATCAATCCATGATACAATGATGGCTCGAAAAATCAATGGGCCCAGGACCGAGAAGTCAATGCTAGGGTTTCATAAAGATATTGGTTAATGAAATCCCAAACGGAATTTGAGGAATGATTAACTCATTTTTCTGCTTGACATACCAGAGCAAGACCAGAGACACTGAGATGTAGAGCTCAGTCTGTTGAGCAACCTTGAGCCAAGAATAAGCTCCCTGGCAATTTTCAGTTGTAAGAGGTTAGCGAAACGTACAATAAGGATATAAGGGCTCTCGTGCCGTCATCCCTTAGCAATCAACAACAAGAAAAAACCAAGTTGACAAACACACCATACCTCACGGTCTCTCCAGGGAGCTAGGTTAATCCACAGCGTACCAAGCGTTATGGCCCATACAGAATCACCAAGGGAAACAGACTTGATTGATACTTGAGAAGCCAACATTTTTGAGACAAGAGCCAGAAGAAACACCATTGTAAAACCAGCAGGTAGCAACACGCGTGTCGGTTTGTTCATCAGCATCGTTGCAAACCATACGAGAATCAGCAGCGATATGAATACGACTGGCAATCCAATATTGGATGGAATTGTCAGCGAATCGAATGGATTTCCTGCCCATGGTCGGAAACCTGGAGGAGGGACACCAAAGCTAACCACAACACTTACAATGGCTATAAAGGTAAAATTGGGTTAGTTTTCCATTGATGTAGACGCTGTAGGAGCTTGTTTTGCGTACCGAATAGAGTAAACCCAATCCAGACAGGCCAATACTCGTCCGTGTTGAAAGCACCCCAGAAAGACAATGCGGGAGAAGCTGCTTCTGAATTTGGTTGCTGTGCAGCTTCTGAAGATGATAGTGACTGAGTATTGTCACGAATGACTAGTGGAGCATCTGGATCTTCCAGCTCAACAAGCTCAATTCGTTCAGCCTTTGATGACGTGGATGCAGGAACAGGGATTCTTCTCGAGATGGGAGTAGAGCTAGGAGAGTTACGAACTGATTGCCTTTTGATTCCTGTTGGCGAAGCTGATGCCATCGTGTTGCGGGTTGACGTGTCAGATGGTTGATGTCTATGGAAATTAGAAGATCTAGTGCTAAAGTTCGAGGTAGTAAATGTTGAGAATCTCAATCTAAGGCGACATAACACGTCTTAAAGCCTCGCACAAGGGCGCATCGCTCTACCGCACTCCTCTGTCTGTTGCAAACTTTCAAACATCTGTCGCAAGCTTATAAACTTACCTGAAACAGAGAGCGTGTCCTTTTGCTCTGCGATTGTGGAAACCTACTCAAGGTACGCCCTCGTATAGTGCCTTCTTTTAGCTTCAACTACTAACGAAACTTGAAAAATCCAGTCACCAAACTGCCATCTAAGAACTCGCCAGTTTTGCTGTAGAGGAGCAATCAGAGCTTAATTCCCTTTATAATCCATCAATATAATTATTCCTACTACCATGTCTACTAGCAACACACCAAATGGAACTGAAGGTGAGTATTTGGCCATTTTGAAACCTTTCAACATCCAACATGAATACCACTCTACTTGGCTGATCCAATTTTAATATGCGTATCTACCATAGCTGTTGACAAATTAGCTGATGGAATAGCTCAAGTCAATACAGAGGAAGCAACAAAACACTCGGCTCTAGTCCAGCAAGACGACGAGTACGAGGTCGAAGTAGAACTCAATGATGCTTCTGCCGCTGGTGCTGCAAACCCACTCTATGTCGGAGTAACCAGATTCGAAGATCTCCCACTACATCCAAACCTGCTCAAAGGTGTATACGCAATGGGCTTCTCACGTCCTTCCAAAATCCAAGAAAGGGCGCTCCCACTCTTACTCGCTACCCCTCCACGCAACATGATTGGTCAATCACAATCTGGCACTGGCAAAACAGCTGCTTTTGTATTGACCATGCTATCACGTATCGATTACTCGGTAGATAGGCCACAGGCATTGTGTCTTGCCCCGTCTCGTGAATTGGCTGCTCAGATCATGAGGGTCGTTACTGGGATGGGTGAATATACTGGTGTAAAGACTGCTTTTGCTGTACGGGATATAGATCGAAATACGGCCATCACTGCTCAATTGATTATCGGCACTCCTGGAACTGTCATGGATTTGATGAGGAAACGAAGTCTGGATACGTCCAAAATCAATATATTTGTATTGGATGAAGCTGATAATATGTTGGATCAACAAGGATTGGGAGATCAATCTCTTCGTATTCGACAGTGAGTAATAGCTACTTTTGATTTTAGTTTCTTTACTCGCCCAACACCAACATTTGAATCTGTTTCATAGAGCCATGCCACGCACAGCACAGATATTACTCTTCTCAGCTACATTTACACCAGAAATTCGAGAATTCGCAACCAAATTTGCTCCACAAGCCGATATCATCTCTCTTAAACAGGAAGAGTTGTCGGTCGATGGAATCAAACAATTCTACATGGATTGTAAAGACGAAAACCATAAAATCGAAGTGTTGCAGGCTATATATGGATTGATGACTATTGGACAGAGTATCATCTTTGTCAGAGTAAGTCAAAAGCAAAAAAACGCTGATAGAAACTCCCTGTGCTGACGGGAGTGTCGCATTTCTATAGAGGCGAGATACAGCAGATCTTTTGTCAAAACGCATGACAGAGGAAGGACATACAGTCATTCATCTGCATGGTGGTATGTCTGCTGAAGATCGAGACAAGGTCATGGACGACTTTAGGAAGGGTCGTGCCAAAGTCCTGATTTCTACCAATGTCATTGCTAGAGGTATTGATGTACTTCAAGTGACGTTGGTAGTGAACTTTGATATGCCATTGGATGGTCGCAACAATGTAGGTTGGTTTGTCCATGTATACAAAACGCAATTGGGAGCCTGTGTGTTCCTTGCTTTTGTCGCTAAACTCGTTAATTTGCTAGCCCGACCCAGAAACGTACCTACATAGGATTGGAAGGACGGGACGATTTGGCAGGACGGGAGTTGCCATCAACTTTGTCCATGACCAACGATCCTACAATGAAATGCTGGCTATCCAAAATCACTTCAAACGTGAGATTGTGCATGTGCCAACAAACGATTACATGGAGGTTGAAAAATTATTGAAGAAGGCTATTAAATGAGATATGCTAAATATAAGAGACTGCAGATTTTTTGTATGTATAGCATGAAGACCAAGAATCAGAGATATCTCAACTTCAGATTGTATTATGTCTTACTGTGACGCTTTTACGGTGGACAGATTGAAAGAAAGTTCAAGTGTCCCGCAACAGCTACTCTAATGCTGGAACACGCTGGAAAGACTGAGCTTTTCAAACGAAACATGAGGTTTTTGTGCTCTGTCCAGTTTAGTGTGTGTGTTCGAACTGGCGCAAAATGTGATGTAGGACAGACCAAGTTCTATTTGAGCTCGTATTTAGTGAGAAATGATAGCAGAAGCGTCATAGGTCATAATCGGTCTTAAATTAATAGCTTCCGGTGATGAGTCTATCTTCTAATGAATGACCTGTGAAGCGTTTCTGGCTCTGTTCGTTCTGCTTCTGATGCCAGGGATCCAAGAGAGAATTAGTCTCGAAATGAGATTAATACTAGATCAAAATGACGACCTGATCGCCTTTTGGGTGGCGACGGTGAAGCTTGCTTAAGCCATCGCTTTGGGGTTGACGTTGTTTCGATTATCTTACGTATAGAGTTGAGTTAGTAGAAATATAAAAATATCAAGATACTGCAATTTGACAATTCCGGTACGAATGCTCCAGATTCTTGTCTGTGACTCTCAAGGTTTGCAAGCTTTCACAACTTGAGCGACTAGACCAAACGTGTGAGCTTAGGTATGGAGGCAACTGGCTTCTTGATTTAATCAAAGTAAGTTCAAAGTAAGTAGTACTAAAATCTCCTTCGTAGTGCCCTTTAAGGTGCTCTAGACATTAACGAAGCTTCAAATATCCAGACAAATTATCTTTGAGGACATCCTTCTAGTTTCTAAGTCACATACGAGAAGCAGTCAGAGCATAACTTCGATACATTCAGTCCCATTTATTGATACTACGATCATGCCTAATAGCAAGGCACCAAATGGAGCTGGAGCGACCATTTGAGCATCTTGAACATTTCCGACGTCTGTTCTTACCTACGAAATGGACTCAAACATCCTTAACTCCAACGTACATTAGCTCAATTCAATGCAAAAAAGTCACCAAGACGCTCAGCGCAACAACACGAGGTCTACGCTGATGACCCATCGTGTCCTGGTGCTCCAAACCCAATCTACCGTGGAGTCACCAGATTCGAAGATCTCCCACTACATACATCCCTTCTAAAAGGAATCTATGCAATGGGCTTCTCAGGTCCTTCCAAAATCCAAGAAAAGGCCCTCCCACTCCTCCTTGCTACTCCACGGAACATGATTGGCCAATCACAATCAGGCACTGGCACAAAGGCTGTATTTGTATTGACCATGCTATCAGGTATCGAATATGCAGTAGATAGACCACAAGCACTGTGTCTTGCACCTACTCGTGGATGGCTGCACAGATTGTGGACGAGATGGGTCAATTTACTGGTGTCAAGACGGCCTTTGTTGTGCAAGATTCAGATCGAAATACTTTTTTTACTGCTCATTTGATTGTTGGGACTCCTAGAACTGTCATGTTATGATTTCAAATCGGTCAACGTGTTTGTATTGAATGAGGTTGATAATATGTTGGATCAGCCAGGATTGGGAGAGCAGTCTCTTCGTATTCGACGGTGAGTATCTGGAGCCTCAATTTCATAGATTTTTTGGTTGCCCGAAAATATTTCGATCTATTTCACAGAGACATTCCACGTACAGCACAGATACTATTCTTCTCAGCTACATTCACACCAGAAATCCGAGAATTTGCATGCAAATTCCCTTCAAAAGCACACGTCCTCTCTCTCAAACCTGAAGAAATGTCTATTGATGGAATCAAACAATTCTACATGAAGTGTAAAGATGAACTCCACAAAATCGAACTTTTGCAAGATGTCTATGGATTCATGACTATTGGACAGAGTATTATCTTTGTCAAGGTATGTACACAAGCAAAAATAACCCACGGCGATCCTGGGTTACTAACTACATGTCACTACTTTCGTCAGAGGCGAGAGACAGCAGATCTCTTGTCGAAGCGCATGATAGAAGCAGGACATACCGTCATTCATCTACGTGGCGGTATGTCTCCTGAAGATCGAGACGATGTGATGGACGACTTTAGGAAGGGTCGTGCCAAAGTCTTGATTTCCACCAATGTCATTGCTAGAGGCATTGCTGTGCTTCAAGAAACGTTGGTCGTGAACTTTGATATGCCTTTGGATGCTGGTAAACATGTAAGTTGATTTGATGCTGGTGCGCGAAATGCAATGGCGTACCTGTTGAGATCTTTTTTGCTAACCTTGTTTACTTCATAGCCCGAACTAGAAACTTAACTGCACAGGATTGGAAGGACGAGACGATTTGGAAGTACGGGAGTTGCCATCAACGATTGTACAATGAACTGCTGGCAATCAAAAAGCACTTCAAGCGCGAGAAATGTGCCAACAAACGATTACATGGAGGTTGAAAAATTATTGAGAAACGTCATTAAATAATCCTATGCTTGTATGTATAGCATTGTGAATAAGTGAATAAGCAACTTATAAATTCCGCCTGTGTGTGACAGCCAGTTGTAAACGCATTTCAAACGTGATGAACAGAGTGAAGCTTGTAACCGGTCACCTCAAGAGCGCAATGTCATCTACGTCTAATCCTGTCGCGGCTCAGGAGCTGAAGAGCCCATATGTTTCTAGCGTCGGAAGCGGCACAGTGCTTCCAAAATTCAAGACAGAAGAAAAGTTTGAACTCTATCAGACTCCCCATCCTTCTTATACGCCTCCACAGGCACAGGCCTTCCCTGGATCGCAAGAGAATGTGGTTTTGGAGTGTGATAAAATGCCTGCCGCTTCCAGGTACGTTTATTTTGCAATATCAACCTGTATATATTTTGGAGATCTGAGAGATCGATGAACCGGAACTGACATCGTTCGGTTTTACTAGATACCCGCTCATGATATCCGCTATAGTTCCACGTCCAATCGCTTTGGTAACGTCTCAAAGTGAAGCTGGAATCAACAACTGTTCACCATTCTCATACTTTAATGTTATATGCCATGATCCTCCTACGTTGATCGTGTCGTGCAAGTAAGTTTTGTGCTCAGAGGCATGTCAGTCGGTTATATGTAACTGATGTCTTTTATTGTTTGTCAGCTACAACCGAGATGGAACTGCAAAGGACTCGTTACGCAATATTCTTACCACCAAGGATTTTGTCGTGTCTATAATGTCTGAGTGGTATATCGAGTCTAGTAACTATACGTGCGGGAACTTTAAATATGGTGATGATGAAATGAAAGCTGGTATGTGTTATATGTTATGCGGACTCGAACTTTTCTTGCTTGGCAACTCCAATTTGGCTCCTTTGCACATCCACCGTACTTTCCTCACCTCCCCTATCCCCTTTTGCAGCCGGCATGGAAGTCCACCCCAGCAAACTCATAAACCCACCTACACCCGCTGCATCTGCATTCTCCATGGAGTGCCGTCTCGAATCAACGTATGACTTGAAATCAGAAGACGGTAGTGGTCGTATGTCTACCACTATGGTGATTGCACGTATACTTGCATTCTGTATCAAGAAGGATGTGCTTAAAGAGGATGGAACGCTGGATATGGAAAAGTATGCTCCTATTGCACGGTTGGGTGGGATTCAGTATGGGAGGGTTACGCAGGGGTTTGAGTTGCCTAGGCCGTATTTTAAGCACTGAGGGTGCTGTAGAGCTTTTTTATAGATTTCGTATGATGAATGTTTGAACTGTGTATGATGGGCGTTTCTCGTGTTATGTGTGCTGCTGTTACTGCATTGTGCGTTCACTTTGTGGTTTCTACAAATCAAACTACTTTTGAGATGTCAATTTGTGGAATCATTGACCTGTGTATGCACGTGCTTGTGTTATGTATGCTGCTGTTACTTTATTGTGCGTGAACTTTGTGGTTTCTACAAATCAAGCTAGTTTTTACTATTTCTCGAATATCTCCTTTTGCAAATAAGCCCCATAATCTTCACCCTTCATTATGTTGCATGCTCTCGTTCCTTCGATGATCTTCACCCTCCATTAGCTGCTTTTCTTTAGACCTATTTGCTGCTTGATTGTGGCTTCGATTGAGATGACAGTTTACCAACAGATTCAAGAGTTGACTATTGCAACAAAGCAAACACACTTGTTAGCCTTTAAAAAAAAGAATGGAAAAATTCAATCCAGCTACTCACCACGTTCCAAGCACGACCACGTACTCAATGTGCTTCAGTTGTTAGAAAGCAAGCAACCTCAACTTGGCAAAAACCTTAGCAGCAGCCCCAAACGTCAATAGTCCACAAGTCAACCTCCAAAGATATACTTGGTTGACGTGTTTCGACATACAATAATGAGCCGAAATCCAGTAGATGGCGAGCAGGCCCTAGACCATTGGTCATAATAGGACTTGCCCAATTTCATGAGCAGTTGTAGGACTGGAGATCTCCTGAACAGCAGAGTAGAAAACGTTGCATCCAGCTACAGAATACAGGTAGGTGCATGGTGATTTGTGATTTGAATGCTGTTTCATCATTTCACGTAAAGGAGGTTATGAGCAGTTGCCGTCTTAAGAGCACGTTGCATGGCCAGTCCGACTCGGAAAACAAACAGAGTGATATACGTAGAGATTGAGAGTGCTTTCCCCTCCTACCAGTAGACTCACGGTTGTCTGAAAATCGATACGATGATGCACTATGAGCTGGCAAGCAGACCTTCAGCGCCTTCATTCACAAGAAGAAATTTCCCCAAATCGTTACACATCCACGCACAGATCAAGTTTCCACGCGTCTTGTGATGATTCCTCCCTCCGTGAAAGACCTTCACCGCTACTGGCCAACCAAGGTAATGACAAGCATATCATCAAGAAAAACAAACAGCACCTGGAATTGTGCGGCTGCTTGCTGTTTGCCGTAGAAAAACAGCATTATAAGCCATTTCTCCATTGGTGCCATGCTGTCTACTTCACGATGGGCAAAGTCCTCCCCACAAATGATCTTACCACGAACACGGGTAATTCGACATCGTGAAACGGACGAGAAGATATGGCTATTCGTGTCTCGGTACTAAAGAATGTATGCTGCCTTTCACCCCCTCATTCAGAGTCAGTTTGTGGTGTTGTGGGTTTCGTCCGATTTGTCACTTTGGGGTTTGGCGGAGACAATGTCCTCCTCCAGACCACTTCACACCCACAAGGGCTGGTTTCAGCCATCATGACGTAATTAAGACAAGCTCGATGCACCGTGATCTCCACTTCCAACATGAAACGGGCAGTCTCGTTTCCGAGGTTTGGAACCTCAGAACGGATTGCCAGAATCGCCTGGTTTAAAACACCAACACCGAATTTCAAGGCCACCATCTTGATGCCCGACTTCCAAAGATTCGACCCTTACGGACGCGGTTAGCTCATGTGGTCTGATGCATGTCTGTATCGTCATTGTGTGTTTTGTTTGTAAAAGGGGCTCATGCATTTTGTTTTTGGCGCGCGAAGGCCAGTCCGAGGGGACCTCCAAAGCAAGATAAGTACCAAATAAATAGAAAATCATCATTGCAATCATGTGGTTGGAGTAGTCAGAAGGCTATTCTGAGAAGAAAAATTTCCCTGGTCCGGAAAGAAACGCGTTAGTAGTGTAGCGGTTATCATTCTAGCCTTCCAAGCTTGAGACCGGAGTTCGACTCTCCGCTAACGCAAACTTTTTCGACCTCGGGTGCTCCTTAGTTTTGCGTTTCTTTTGTGTCTCTTGCACCTTTCTGGGACATGGCACTCACCACTGGGCATCAGGTGGTCAATTCCATGCGGCTCCTGTCCTCTTCCGTGTTGAAACTGCACCTTAGTCTAGTTGGGTCTTGAACGAACATTTTCGCTTCAGCTGTACTACAGACGCAATGACCTCTTGAAGCTTCTTTAAAGAGTCTCACTACACTATAATAAGCTTTGGGTCTTGCTCTCAACTTGAAAGCGCTGAGTCTGGGTGCTTTAAACATCCTCAATGTTTGTCGGTTCTCGTCAGAGTTAGCACAGGCTTCTAACTAGCATAAACCTTGCTCTTGATGGTATTTGAAAGGATTCAACTATATGCTAGATCCGTACAGCTTGCTCTAGAGTCGTTGCGCTCTCGAGACATTGCGCTCGTCTTTCAAAGACATCATGTCGATGACGCAGAGGCAAATAAACGATGTTCTGCTTGCCATTCGCCATTCAAAAGCCACTCCATTTCCACCAAAATATATACAGAAACTATTGACCATCTTTACTTTGCATGCTGACTTGTTATCCTCATCACAAACCCTGGAGATTTCAAACACATTTAGTCGTCAACATCTCAGTAGTACGAATCGTGATAACCCGACTTAATTTGGGCATGTAACTCTAAAATATTGTGCGTACGCTACAATCGAAATCAAGTATCGGTCCCATAGTGCCATTGCATATACCAAACTGTCTAATTCGTCCAAACTCAGTTCCCAACCCTTGAGACAAAATGCCATTACAACGCCAGAGATAGCAATTTCAGGCCTCAACAAATCTCTGTTATTATATATGGTTTCTATTTTATGTGCTTACAAAAAGGAAAACGAAACTACTGTGCAAAAAGCAAAAACCCCCAGACTTTTGATAACTATTGACAACGTAATTGTTTCCTTCAACTTTTCCATCATATAGCATTTACCTATGTACGCGATGAGGGGGATTTATAACTGCTGGGAATTGCTGACGGAGAGGAGCCAATCGAATAGCAAGAGCACGAGGATTGTTGGCTGAATCTCCAAGTCGAGCAGAAGCAACGTAATCACGACGAATGCCAAGACGATTCTCGGCCCAACTTGGACAATTGCAAGACTTCCATTTCAAGCCACAATTGTCGCAGAATTTATACCTATAGCAAATGGTTTATTGGGTATGAACACAATTCCAAAACGTTTGATTCTTTAATATCTTTGACTTTCAGCATTAGAAGAAAGTTTCTAATAAGATCAGAAACACCGTTTATATCACTTAAGGTAAAGTACCTACCGCACCAGTTTCAAAACGTCCTCAAAAAGGCAGTCAAAGGCACAAAAAATAGTTTGGGGTCTATGAATTTCGAAGTGCTGCTTTTTGGTGTAGATTATTGCTATAGATCGCTTTAAAATACATTATTTGTAAACTTGAAAAAGTAGAGTACGCGGAATTCCTGGGTGATCTCTCACCCCAGTACTGCCCGCGCCGGTCGCAGCTTGACTTCACAGAGCTGACGGGATATGGTATTTTCTGCGACGTATGACCCTACCTGGTACCTAGAGGAACAAACTAGCTGTTATAGGTGGTTTTTGGGGTGCAAACTCAAAGTGGAGGCTCAAGGGAGCCCCTCATCTGGTTCTGCATGGAGGAACTCCCTGCTAAAAACATTTCGTCCTTATAAGAGGGAGCTCAGTTTTGCCGTAGAAGCAAACACAGCCAAAGCAAGGCTCTCGTCTGTATTAAAAGAAATGTTTTCCGATGCAAGGACCCTCAGAGAAAACATTTTTGTTAATACAGACGAAGCCTTGCATTAGAAAACATTTCGTTTAATACAGGGGCTGACATTGAAGGGAGCTCTGTATTCTTGAGGAAAGTAAGGTGCGATAGATGATACCCTCCTCCCCACAAGTTCCTTTTCGAGGGACCCCCATCAAAACTCCCTAGAGGAAAAAATTGTTGTATAA